TCGCCAGTTCGATTCCCAGCCCGAGCTGAGCTGCCAACAGGTGGCAGGATGGCTTAGCTAAAAAAAAAAAAAAAAAAAAGAATAAACAACTTTTGCCTTGTGAATCTTCTCATATTATTTGTTTTTTATTCTTTCATGGATTTATGCTCTTACCGTCTGTCCTACCTTCTTTTGGCTTTTTGGTTATTTTTATAGCTTCTTGAGAATGATACTTAATTTATCAAATATCAAAACTTTATCTATTTTTCTCATATTATTTAAGGTTATAAATTTTCTTTATTATAATTCCTTTAAAGCATTGTTTTGCCATATCCCAGACGTTGCTTTATGTGTGTTTTCAATGGTATCTTTCATTTATTTTTAAATTCTAGCATTTATTTATTTTTAAATATAGCATTTTTCTTTACCCTTGAATTATTTAAAAATTTCCAAATAATTTGGAAATTAGGGGCTGTAAGAAATGTGTTGAAGGTTTCTTTTGAAGGCTAACTTCATAATGCATATTTATTTACATTCCATGTATACTCAAGAAAATTGTGTATTCTCTAATTTTGGGACGTAGAACTATATACCTATTAGGATGAGCTTTTAGTTTTAGTGTTCAAATCTTGCATAACATTGGTGATTTTTCTTTTTGTCTGTTTGACTTTTCAAAAATGAGAAGAAAGGTTGACATTTCCCATTACATTAGCAGATTTATTAATTTCTCACTGTAGTTCAAATCATTTTGTTTCACACATTTTGAAGTTATTTTATTAGGTGCATGCATGCTTATAACTGCTACACCTTTTTGAAGAATTGAACTCTTGATTATTATATAGTGACTCTCTCTATCCCAAATACTTTTTTCTAATTTTGAAACCTATTTTCTGTGATATTAACAGTCACATCAGTTTTCTAATGGTTATCATTTGCTGGATATATCTTTTGCCACCCGTTAACTTTTAAGCTTTGTGTGTTCTTTTATTATGGAGTTGTGTCTCTTGTAAGCTACATATATCTAAATACTGTGTTCTTGTCCAAACTGTCAACTTTTTAGCTGAGGAGTCTGACCTATTTATATTGATTAGTATTATTGACATATTTTCACCTATTTCTCTCATGTTAATTTATTATTAAAGTGTCCCATAATTTGTTTTTATTTAGTACTTTTTTTAAACCACTTTCATTCCTTTAGGTTCTTTACTACCTCAAACATACTGATATTACCTAGACTTATTCCTGATTTATATGGTTATATATTTCACTTCATCTTTGACTTTGTTCCCTCTCATCTTTTTATTTATACCCAAACTGCTTTACCAAGATATTTGATCATTTTATTCCGTATTTTGGAGGCATATCCTTTAAATATCTCCTTCTTTTTAGGTACTTCATCCAAAACTGCTTTCAGTGTTAGTCTTTTTGGGTAAACATTCTTAAGTATTTTATACCTCTGAGAATATTATCATGGTCTAATATGTGGATGACATTTGGACTGGATATAAAACCATGTTTTAACTTCTTTCAATATTTAAAAAACACTGATTCACTTTATTTTTCATCCAATTTTGACTTGAAAAATTTTTTGTTAATCAGATTCTTGTTGTTTTAGACATAATCTTCTCTTTCTCTATTTAGGCTTTTAGATTTCTCTCTTTATCATTGTGTGTTCTTAAATTTTAATATAATGTGTCTGAGTGTAGCTTTTCCCAATCTTTTTTCTTTGGAATTCTATAAGCCCTTTGATTTTTAAATTAAAAAATAATGATAAAACAAGATTAAATAAGTAAAAGACTTTAGTCTTTTATTTAGTGTCAATTCTAGAAAATGCCTTTCCATTATTTCTTAAAATATTTATTTCATCCAATTTTTTTTTCTATCTGAGACTGCTAATATCTGTTTTTTAGATCTAATAATTCTATTCCATACTGATTAGATTTTCTTTTACATATTCTAGTTCTTCGTCCATTTCTTCATACTGCTGAGACATTAATTTGGTTTTATAATTTACCAATTCCTTTATTCCCTTCTCAGTGTATCAATTATGCTATTTTTTCATTCTTCAGATTTTTTTCAAGTATTGCATTTTCATACCTCTGATTTCTGCTTAATCACTTTGACCATTTTTACATTTATGTGTTCTTATAATTTATTATAAATATCTACCTTTATTCCTTTACAAATGTGCATGGTTAATTTAAGAAAGTTAGTTTCATGTGATATTTATTTATTTTTATTTTTGCTTTTGATGTTATTTCCAACACTGCATGTTGTTTTATTTTGATATAGTTGTTTTACTCAAGTGTTTTAATACTTTGACCTGTGAGCTTGTTTTCTTCAGGGAATATTGGCTATTGTGAAAGGCAGTGTATAGGTGAGAAAATCAGGTCCAGTCCTTTTCGATCTCTATGATGTTAGCAGTGGAAAGGTGATTAAAATCTAGGGTGGAGAACGTCAGAAAACATGAACCACTGTTAATTACTTCTCACCTCAAGGCAACTTTTTAAATAAGGAGTTTGCATTTTTTTTTTTTTACCAGTAGGAAATATTGTGTCAAGCCGCATTTTCTATCTTGTTGAAAAGATTTTATGATAAATTCTTTATTATATATCTTTCAATTTTATGAGTTTGTGTTCATAATAATATGTTCTCTTATTGTCATGTTAAAGGTTTGGCTTTACTGACAAAAATAATCTGTTTTTAACCAGAATCATAAATATTTCTTCATAAAATATCTAACAATTTGCCAACTAATATGCAAAATAAAGTCAACATTTAAACCTCATTACCTCAGTGAATTATACCTTTGAGAAAAGTAGATATAATTTTGCTTTGTAAGCCCTTTCAGATGTGTATGTAATCTTTAAATTTTCACTAACATTGTACTCATATCTTTTAATGGAGAAAAGGCACTTTAGATCACATGAAGTGTATTATACTTTGAAATTGAAACCAATTGTCTAATGATATTCAAAAAGTGATTAGCCATTTACATGAAATAGAGTAGTACCTACAGCATAAAATTAAATAGGATATTAATCATTGTGCTTTAGGGCATAAATTAGACAATAACCAAGGTCAGGAGAAGATGTAATATACCTATGCTTAAGCAGGATTAGATTCATTAACAGAATCCAGCCCCATTTCTAAGGAAAAACACTTTGAGTATAGTTTGACCGGGTAATATTGGACCCAGCAAAATGTAATATCTAGGAAACTATCACTTTATTCCTACAGTGTATAAGTAATATGGCTCTTTTCTTCTTAAACATGTCTGCAGTTTGCCACTGCTGCATTGAAATCCATCTGAATTCCAGCTCTTCAGAGAGAAGTGCCCTCTCCTAGTTCCTTCCCCTTCTTCCCCCCACTTCCTGTCTTTTGTTCAGCATGACCGTTATGCTTCTCAAAGGCACTGTGGAGATGCACAGTTCAGGCTGGCGATGCTGCAGCTCATCACCAACGGGGTTTTCAAAAAATATCTTGGAAACTTTTACTTTTACAAATATGACTAAATGACTCATACAGTAGGGAAATACCTGCTTTCGGATTTCTTCCTACTTTTATTGTTCTGATACTAATACTCTATCCAATTTGATCAACTTTGTCCCTATTTTTCAAATGAGGAAATTAAGAAGAAATAAATTCCCCACTTAAGTATCTACCTTCCAAGATCCATGAGTGAAAATACATTTCAAAACAATGAGTTTATATAAAATAAAGATGAGGAGCCCTAATAAGAATACATAATGAAAAAAACCAATAATTGAAAATATACATCAGAATACCATATGCATTCTATAATATCTCCATTGATATGCACATGCCCTTATATATTGACCTGATTTCCACTGTACTTTTAAGCATTTTTTCCCCTCAGAAATATACAATAATTATTACATATAGTTTAATGGATATTATGTAAGAAATTTATTTTGATCCTATGTTCTTTCCTCACATTTGTTTCCAGTCTGACTGTGTAAGTATCAAAAAAAAATTTCCTCAGTTTGAATTGGAGTTTTATAAAAAGTGGGAATAAGGAATTAGAGTCTCAGCAATAATCTGGTTACAGCTTTGTTTGATTATTTGTATTGTTTCTGGTCCTTCAGAAAAGAAAAAAGTTACTACTTATTCATTACCTGGTTTATTACCCAGAAATGAAATAAAGATACTTAGGATACAAATATTTCAAATGTTCAATTCATACATACATTTTAAATATAGTTTGTTCTGAAATAATGAATATTAACTTGAATTATGAATATTATTTAAATTAAATTTTCTTAGGAGATAAATCAATAAGCACATTAAAAAATAAATTTGTATAATTTTGCATTTTGTTTAAAGCATCTTAGCTTTCTGTACAAATTGTTCCCAACAGCACTTTAAGAATTGTGGTGTTACTATGGGAATAATTGGATGTACCCTATATCCACTAGAAGAAAAAGAAGTTTTAGACTACTTTTGGCTACCAGCTGGAATATTTATAGTAATCTAGAACATTAAGTGTACAATGAAAAAAACTATGCCTTCCGGACAGGAAAGAAGTTTCTCACTTAATTAGCAGTGTAAAACACCTCTTGACTGTGAGTTGCTGGTAGCACTGGTGGTGTTAAGAAGGCTTCCAAAATGTTCAGCCATTATATCTAATTTATGACATGCAATGAACTTTCCAGCTTTGCTAATATGTGCATTGATTTTGTCCCAATGATGTTTTTAATCTTATTCATTTATAACCAGGTAATGTGCTGGATCAAACTTCCATAACTCTGTAAATATTAATCAGAATTTTCCTTCATGAGTCAACTAAATCCTTTTTTTAAAATACAAATAGCTTTTTGCAACATATTCACAAGCTTCCCACATTGATTTTAAAAAGTCAATGCAAACTCACTGTTATTTAAAATTAAAATGCTATATATTACAAATTATTATTAAAGTGGCAAATTTTAAATATACAACTAAATATATCATTGCCCACAGAAGGTTTAATTGACCTTTCCTTCTTTCTTCCTCTGAAGTTATCTGGAAGTATTTTGGATGTGTATAGTGGCGAGCAGGAAATTTCACCAGTTAACATGGGCCTTACAAGTGCTTCCTGTCCAAGTGCTCTACCAACGAAAAGAGAAATTACAGGTAATGTTGCTTTTACAGTTTTACCCTTTGTAATGTCAACTATATGAAATATGAATGACAAATATTACCAAGCTAAATAGAATTTTAACAATATTATCAAAATTGTCAAAGTGGGAGACTTTTAGAGAGCAAATCCATCATTTTTTTTCCTATGACAACCAAGCAGTAAGTTAATATAACTTATAGTGCAACTGAATTGATTTATTATTTTAAGAAATGAACAAATGCATACATGTGCTCTCTCTCTCTCTCTCTCTCTCTCTCTCTCTCTCTCTATATATATATATATATATATATATATATATAGTCAAAATATATATACACATTTTAAGAAAGGAAAACTGTATTAAAATTGTAACACTCAATATATA